TACCTCATCTTATTTTCACCCTCAATTTTTAATGATAAATTGGGTGAAATAACCACAGTGGCTTGAGCATGAAACTGAGCAAACTCAGGGAGGCAGTGAAGGACAGGAAGGCCTGGCGCAATATGGTTCATGGGGTCACGAAGAGTCGGACACGACTTAACGACTAAACAACAACAACAACAATTGTAAGGTTATATGAACAGAATCTTGCAAGTCTGGAAGCAGGGCAGTGCACAGCCACTTCTAGCATTTCCCCCATTCCAATAGAAGAAACGTCTGTAGCTCAGGGTTGAACTGGAGTCCTTGGGGCTCTCTAAGCTTGGTTGTTTGCTTGCAGACATTTTATTACCCAGTTATGTAACATCATCTGTATGAGGCATGGTGCAAGGCATCAGGGTGACATAATGGTATGTGGGAATGACCTTGGGAGACAGGAGGAAGAGCTCCAGACTAGGCAATGGTCAGATAAGCATCAGCTGAGCCCACAGAAGGAATGGGGACGTGGCAAACATTTCGGAAGGGACCCCCTCCCAGTTTCTTGGAGTGTAAAGGCGAGGGGGGAGAGATGTCCTTTCAGACTTGCAAGATGTAACTTAACAATAAAATAGAGCTAGTACTTCTGGCTATGCTTCTTGTCTGGACTACCTCGCAAGGCTGACACTTTCTTGAGACTGATTTTCTGAGAACAGCTTGGGAGACACGGGAAGATATATTCTGAAAATAAAGAATATGCCTGCAACCTTGCAGGTCTCAGTGGCGCTTTGGGTTGGCAGTGGATGAGCCTAAGGTGGGGGCCAGCTGACTCAAATCGCCTGCTCTGGTTCTCCTTTCCCAGGTCCCAAGCAAGACGTTCATGCAGCCAAGCGGTTCATCCTGGAAATGTACACCGACATCTTCCAGCAGTTCTCATCCATCGATGGCCCTTTTCGTGGCGGAGCCCCTTCTGTCTTCAGGCCCAGGATCCTGTATCCCCATTACACCTGTGCCACCGACACCCAGAACATCTGCACGGTTTTTGAGGACATCAAGGATGCTGTTCTGGCAGGCTACCTAGAAGAATTCAACCTGATCTGAAGAGGCCAGCACCAGATATATCACAGTGTTGCTGGAGGTGCAGTCCAGGTGTTGTGTCTGTCTTGAAAAATCAGGCTCCTGAGATCCTGTTGATGTGCTGGGGTGGGTGGGCCAGCCTTTAGGACTTGTCTTACAGCATCTTCCTTTGGGAACCTTGGATGTACCAGGTGAATCTGGAGACTCACCGCTGGGAAGGGTTTTTTGAGATAACATTGCCACTGCACCATCGAGTGGGTGTGACAGTGAACTACAACGCTGAGAGAAGTAGACAGGGCAAAATGACTAATATTTGACCCGGGAGAAGAATGAGAACATGTACAGGAGCAAGCAAGCTGAAGAGATAAGGAAGTCAACTCGGAAACAGCAAGTGGAGATAAGAAAGTGAACTGCCAGGCAGCAACTCGTGTTGAACCCAGCAGCTGAGTGATGCATGATGGAATGTGTGATAAAATGCAACTGTCAAAAGATAAAATGAAGGCTGGACAGAGGGTGGGTTGGAAGACCCCTTATTTGTGGATCCAGCCATAATCTACAGAATATGTAGATACCATCATAATGTAGATTATGTACAGGTATGCATGTATCCATGATTATGTATGAATGTATCTACAGGTTATGTAAATCAGAGTTCCTCAACCTTGGCCCCTTGAAGATGTGTGGACTTCAACTCCCAGAATTTCCCCCCCCCCCCCACGTCGCGGGGGGGATTTTGGGGTTGTATGTCCCCACCCTTCATATGGCCCACGTTGGTGAAGCTCTGTTTTATAAAACCCACA